ATTGTACGTTATTAGACCAATAAGACTGCTTACTACACACTTAATTCTCGTTTTTTTTTTTTTACTAAAGTCATAGATATATTACTATTGTTAGCTTTTGAGAATAATCAATTTTATTTTTTATTTTTGCTGCTGTTGGACATCAGAATTTCTCCTACAGGGATCAATAAAGTATCTATCTATCTATCTTATTTTATACTTGCTTCTTTAGTATCCTGAAGTTGGACATTTTAGACTTGCTTCATTAATACAAGGAGCATTTTCTACTTCCTGATGGATCATCAAGAAGATTGGTTCTCTTAACTGTCAATCATTCCGGTGCCCGTCAAATAAGACCAGAGAGCTGTGTTTGAAAAAGAGAGAGAGTTGCTTTGCTAAAATTTGGGGAATATCGTCTTACAAACCTTTGAGACAGAGATGTTATTTTACTTTAGTCCAGAGTTGTGGTTCACTTATCTTGTGCTAGTCATTCCTACTGTTCTGAAAATGGCGATGCAACACTGAAATTTTCTCACTGTGGGACCGATAAATTATCTCTCACTCTTAATCTTATGATCGCTTTAACAATAAAACTGATTAAAATCTCAAACCTAGTAAAAGCCCCCAATCAACACCATTCACTCATTACATTCAGACCTATTGTGCATGTTTTTAGTGGTAGGGGAAACCGGAGCACCCGGAGGAAACCTAGGCATACACGGCGAGATCATGCAAACTCCACTCAGAAAGGCCCTGTTCCGATCAGGATTAGGACCCAGGACCTTCTTGCTGAGAAGTGAGAGCGCTAACTGCTAACTGCTAACTGCTAACCACTCAGCCACTGTGCCAACCCAGATAAATATGCCCACATTCCAGCTACTCTCATCTTGTCATTGATACTTTTCGCAGTAACGCACCTCTTCGCACCGAGTCTATAGATCTGAGGCTCGATACTCTCCTCGTGATGGATTACTTTTGTTACTTTTTTTTTAATTGATTGATTTTAACGGTGAGCCCGGTGCTGTGGTGATCAATGGGAGCAGTCAGCAGCAGTGGCTCCAGCTCGGCCAATCAAAGCTCTCCCTGCTCAGAGGCCAGATCTTATGGCTATACCGTGCTTTTATCCCACAATCCTTTGCTCTTTTTTTTTTTTTTTTTTTTTGCGCTGCCCTTCCTCCTCTCCCGCTCTTTCTAGTGTTCGTCCAACGCCGCGGTTGTCGCCCGGAGCCAAGCGGGCGTTCAATAATGTCTGTAGTGTGGAGCGGGATGCAACAAAGGGCCTTCTTTACACACCTCAAAGCCTCGGCTATCGCTAGCGCCAACGACGGCGAGGATGGAGAAACATTTCCAACATAAAAAGGACAGGAACAAAGAGAGACACGGGAAGAACAGAGGAGGCATGTGACGCTGCAGAGAACTGTGCTGAGGAAGAGGAGGGAGCACAAAGGAGAACGAGAAACTATTGATTTGATAATGCGAGCGAGAGAATGGGAAGGACAGGAACCGATGTAAAAGCTGCATGATTTTAAAATATGAAAGTGTTCAGTGTGAGATTCAGGAAGTTCCGGAAACGTCTCAATGACAAATGTACACTGTAGAAGTATTATGTCTTTTAATGTGGAAACAGAATCTCTATGTCCACATTTTAAACTTTTCACTGTAGTTTAAACAAAAGGGAGCACATCACCCCTGTATTAGAGTCCCTACACTGGCTTCCTTTGAGAATACACTGGGCGGCTGAGTGGATAGCACTCTTGCCTCTCAACAAGAAGGTCCTGGGTTCGAATCCCGGTTGGACCAGGGCCTTTCTGAGTGGAGTTTGCATGAGTTTGTATGTTTCCTCCGGGTACTCCAGTTTCCCCTACTACTAAAAGCATGCACAATAGGTCTGCTTCTGTACTGGCCCCGCTCCCATCTCTGTGTGGAGTGAGAGACAAATGCCCAAAATTAACAATTGTAAACCGCTTTGTGACTCTGGTCTGCAGTGAAAAGGCGGTATATAAATAAAATAAAAATTACTTATTAGCTGTAGTTTTTCTTCAGCCTAGTGCAGCCTTGGATCAAAAGTCAAGACTCTGGATAAAAACTCTAACACAAACAATTATCTTATCGGGAAATCTTTCAGGAAACGTCAAAAATGGGACGAGCAGGAAATAATGTTGTCACCTTTACCCAGGAATGATTCAGTATGATGATGATGATGATGATGATGAGGCGACAGTGGCTCAGTTGGTAGAGCATTGCCCTTTGAGCCTGAAGGTCGTGGGTTTGAGCCCTCCACAAGACTTTCACCACCGACTCCCGCTGATGTCTGCTGTTGCTGTGTCCTTGGGCAAGACACTGAACCTCTGGTAACACCTGATGCCACAGTGGGGCGGCTGCGGCTGTAAAGTGCCAAACTGCTGTTGTGTTCTTAGGCAAGACACTTCACCCCCATTGCCTAGAATGAGTCTGGTGTGTGTGTGAATGTTTGGTGGTGGTCGGAGGGGCAGATGGCTTCTGTCAGTGTGCCCCAGGGCAGCTGTGGCTATAGTAGTAGTTTATCTTTCTATATCGTCCAAAAAAGCGCTATATAAAACCGATGCATTATTATTATGATGATGATGATGATGATGAGGAAGATTAAGATGAAGATGAAGAGGCACAAGAGGAAAATTTCAGTGTTGAATAATTGACAATAAGACAATTATTCACCAGAATGATTGACACCTGTGAGAACCAATAGTTTTGATGATCCTCCTGTTTACCTTTTTGATACATTTTGCCAAATTTTTTCACGTTTTGACTTCATTTCATCATCACTTTTTTGCAGTTAAAATTAAAATTCAGGTAAAAAGTCCCATTAACAAATCTGCCTCAACATCTTCTCAATCCACTACATCAACAAAAACAAAAACAAAACTTACTTCACGCACCTATTATTAACTTTTTGTTTCTGTATTTTTTTTTTTTTTTTTCCAGTACCACTCGGTAAGAACTCTGCGGTCCAGACTTTCGCCTCAGCCTGACCTGTTGTCTCCTCTGGGGGCCGGGGAACATCACAGCGAATGCCACGAACGCTTCCTGCCTCCATTAGAGAGAGAAACCCAGGGATTACTGCCAGGACCAGGGCTAATGACTGCCATGGCCACAGAAAGCCGATTTTGTGAGCGCGTGGCAGGGAGGCGTGAAGCCAAAGCTCCCACTAAAACCTCCTGCGAGAGCCCAACAAGCCCGGCTCCTTCTGCACTATTGTCGGATGTTAAACTTCTTTATTCCTTCAGATTGGGCTGGTTCCGACATGTCTGTGTAAAAATACAGTCTTTTGTTTTGAGAAATTGTCAAAATGGTTGTCTGTTGCTCTGATCCACTTTTGTCATGATTCTCAGGCTGTTTCAAAATAAAGGTGTCGCTATATATGTTGTTTTTTTTTCAGCCTTTTTCTTTAGTAAAGCCAATTGAAAAAAAAAGGCGCACTTTCAATCTCCTGGAAATGTGAAAAAAAATTCTTATCTCCCGTCATGAAAAAATACAATCTGGGTCGAATCAGGAGCATTTTGAACTCAAGGCAAATCTAAAATCTATGACATGTTTCCAGGTTTTTCCGTTCAAGGATTTCGTATTTTAGTTATTTTTATTAAATTCCTTTAATTTTGAAAGTTTTAATGGTTTTAATCTTTTGTGTGATTTTTATGTTTTAATGTATTGCCCTGTGTTTGAAAGGCGCTCAACAAATAAACTTTGATTGATTGATTGAACAACAAATCTATAACCAACAAATGTTTCACAAAGGCCCTGAAAGAAATGCTAGTTTTATTCCTTGTTTTGTCGTTAATGATTTGAGAATCATAACGAGACCTTTTTTAGTTCTGCGCCACATGGTACTTTACCAGTGAGATTAGCTCCACACGGTGAGTTCTGACGCCTGGATTACGGACTTTCTGATTGGTGAAACGGTGGAGGGCGGGACATTGAAATGAAAACAAAAACAATATTTAGGGGCTGGAAAACTAATTTAGAAATCCAAATATCTCTGAACTACTGTTATCAGTTAAAGAAGTATTTGAAAAGAACATTTTTTATTAATGCTTTTTGACAGATTAGGGCCCTTTAATGAGGACTTGACATGAAAATCTTACATATTACTACTTTAAGTAAAACACATCAACAATAACCTGTGCATTGGAAACAACAAAAGATAAGGTCCATTGTTGTTTTAACATATAATATTTAAGTAAAAACATCAATGGACCTTTTATATTGTTGTTTCCGATGTAGATGCAGATGTAGAAAGTAAAAAACAATTCAATTACCAAAATAATGTCAATGTTTTTTCACAAATAATCCATGTTCATGTGTGTATTGTCGTCATGAACATTGGTGAGAAGCTTAAATACGTGTCAAAAATATATATATTATTGAAAATCACGCTAAATAATGTGCGGTTGTTCCCATTACTAAATCATGAGCCATAAACCTCTTGAAATTACAGTGCTGGTGGGGGGTTGAGAAAACCATTTGCCTTTTCAGTTACGGCGCGATGTCGAAGAGAGCGATAAAAGTGTTACATTTTAATGCTTAATGAACCCTCGCTCCCCTCGAGTCAGCCCACTTTTTATGGATTCGAAATGAAAGCGCTGTATTCTATAACTGGGACATAATCACAGAGAGACGGAGGCACGTGACCGGGAACGGGGCCGGTGTAAGAACAGCGCTGGTGGCACGTTAGTTTGTGTACGTTTTGTGACCTAAAACTGTCTTGAAAGTGAGGAGTTAGTGGATGTTTATGCCTATACTTATGGGCGCCAGTTTCTTTTTAACCAGAGTCAGAATCAGTAACAGGAAGTCACAAACTGGGAATTTGGTTTTGCTCAAGTTGTAAGAGTAAAAAGGTAAAATAATGCATATAACATCAAAACAAATGTATTAAAATGACAACAATATGTTAAAGTTTGAGACACAAATGAAGGACCAAATGGAGGACCAAAGAGATGTCATGCTGCCACACTGGCTCCTCCCCCTCTGCATTGACGCCTCCCCCTCTACACTGACTCCTCCCTCTGCACTGACTCCTCCCCCTGTACACTGGCTCTTCCCCCTCTACACTGGCTCCTCCCCCTTTGCACTGACTCCTCCCCCTCTGCACTAACTCTTCCCCCTTCACTGACTCCTCCCCTGTTGCACTGACTCCTCCCCCTCGGCACTAGCTCCTCCCCCTTCACTGTCTCCTCCCTCTGCACTGACTCCTCTCTCTGTACTGACTCTTCCCCCTGCACTGGCTCCTCCCCCTTTGCACTGACTCCTCCCTCTCTGCACTGACTCCTCCCCTTCTGCACTAACTCCTCCCTCTCTGCACCCCCCTTGACACTAACTCCTCCCCCTCTGCACGGACTCCTCCCCCTCTGCACTAACTCCTCCCCCTCTGCACTGACTCCTCCCGGTCTGCACTGACTCCTCCCCCTCTGCACGGACTCCTCCCCCTCTGCACTAACTCCTCCCCCTCTGCACTGACTCCTCCCGGTCTGCACTGACTCCTCCCCCTCTGCACTGACTCCTCCCTCTCTGCACTGACTCCTCCCCCTATGCACTCCTGTGGGATTTTGGAAATTAGCTACAAAAAAGATAATCTGGTGTATTTACAGTCGCAGTAAAAACACACTGTTTATGAATACACACTGTCCCATCCAAATCAACAAATAAAAACACAAACACACACTTTCACACACACACACACACACACACACTCTCCAGCTGCCATGTGAAAAAGAAAAAGCCTCTGGTGTCTTGTGCAGAATCCCAACCACTTCCAGTTTGTATTCAGCACAACACATTCCGGTTACACTCTGTCTCTGTGACATTTAGGAATATCGGATGTGAAGAATTTCCTGTCGTTTCCATCTTGTCCCCGTCTCTTTGCCTCCGTGCTCGCCGCCGTGCTCGCCGCCAGCGCTCAGGCAGCGGGCTGAGAATTGATTTGGCCGCAGAGCAGTGTACAGAGGCCAAACAGGAGCACTCATGGAGAAGTTTGTACAATTGATCAGTGAAGGGCTCAGGGGTGAAGCTCTGTGTCATCTCCACAGCCTCCATCTGCATCTGCCGGATTACAGCAGCGAGAGGAGAGGTGCAGATACACTGAGATTACAACATTTAGGATTTAGGATTTGGTTTGGTCCATGTGGTTAGTGTGAAGAAATGTGCATTATTATTATTATATCATTACCATCAGATTTAAACAGATCCTGTTAGCAGCGATGCTAGTATCAAGTGAAGACAGATGTTCAACAGCACTGCTTTCCCATTGTCACTCCTCGTTTAGTCCTGATTTAGTCCTGGATTAGTCCCGGTTTAGTCCTGGATTAGTCCCGGTTTAGTCCCGGTTTAGTCCTGGATTAGTCCCGGTTTAGTCCTGGTTTAGTCCTGGATTAGTCCTGGTTTAATCCTGGATTAGTCCCGGTTTAGTCCTGGATTAGTCCCAGTTTAGTCCTGGTTTAGTCCCGGTTTAGTCCTGGTTTAGTCCTGGATTAGTCCCGGTTTAGTCCTGGTTTAGTCCCGGTTAAATCCTGGTTTAATCTTTGTTTAATCCTGGGGTAGTCCTTGTTTAGTCCTGATTTAGTCCTGGTTTAGTCCTGTTTAGTCCTGGTATAGTCCTGTTTTAGTCTTGGTTTAGTTCTTGTTTAATCTCGGTTTAGTCTTGGTTAAGTCCTGGTTTTATCTTGGTTTAGTCCTGGTTTAGTCCTAGTTTAGTCTTGGTTTAGTCCTGGTTTAGTCCTAAAGAAGGTGTCGTTATGATTCTCAAACCATTAACGACAAAACAAGGAATAAAACCAGGATTTCTATCTTTGTGAAAAAGGTGTTGGTTATAGATTTGTTGTTGACAAAACTCTTGTCTATTCAGCTGTTATGGTCCCAGCTGGATTCGTCTGCATATCTGGCAACCTGAGTCAGGGAGAGAGGGAGAGGCTGCAGTACCACTTTTAGCCAGATTTTCTTTAACAGCGTCCTTCACAGTTTCTTTACAAAAATACTTATCGCAGCTAACATTTGTGAGTTAGCCTCGCGGACTGCATTACTCCTCCATGCGTCACTTGCAATGACATCATCTTGGGTAATTAAAACTTACAATGAGAAGTTGGAGGTGCCTTTCTTGGCCATCTGATGTCTGGCTGTTTTTTTCCCCGCTCAAATCTGTGTATATTTGTGAAGGAGGCAAAGTCTGGCAAAGGATTAGGGGCGAACTGCAAACTGCCAAAATGCACAGTGCCTGTCAAAGTTTGGAAGAGAAAGAGACAGGAACGGAAAAAAATGTCAAGGAGGAGACTGCAAATGAGGCTTGTTTCAATAACGCGATCGATGTGGATGTTGTGTGCATCTGTGATCAGTGCCACACACACACACACACACACACACAAACACACACACACACAGGGGGTGATTACTCTGCAGACATACGCCAGATATATACGGGCAAAAATAAATATATATAAGAACCCAGCAGAAAGGACAATATGGGATTCTACGGATAAATAGTTGCATAAAGAACTCGAGAATTCTGGTGTATGTTTGTTTTCTAATAACACTGTGCACACGGGGGTAGTTTTGCTCGGTTTTTCCAGTGTGGTTTTGCTGCAAATGGCAAATATAGTCTTGAATAGTGTGCTTGAGATTGAGATAATCTGGAAGGATAAATATGATGTGTTATTATTGGTCATTAAAAATCGTAAATTGATTTTTTTCCTTTATCATGTCATATTTTAGAATGAAAAATGAGAACACTTTAGATTAGCCCTCACTAAAATATGTGCGGTTAGTGCTAGCCCTAACCCTAACCCTAATCTTACCTCTAAACCTAACCTTAGCCTTAATCCTAACCAGTGTTGGGTGTAACGCATTACTGTAACGAAATTACAATTTGAGTAGTAGTGCAACGTGTTATTAAGAGAATACGTTTAATTTAGGGCTGTCAAACGATTATTTTTTTTAATCGAGTTAATTACAGCTTAAAAATGTATTAATCGTAATTAATCACATTTCAAACTATTGGCAAAATGATGCCATATTTTTCTGTAAATTGTTGTTTGAATGGAAAGATAAATGACAGCTTAGTGAACATATGTACTGTATTTGTTTGTTATAACAATAAATCCATCCATCCATCCATTTTCTACCCTTTAATCCATTTCTGGGTCAGGGGGGTGGCAATCAGAGATGCCACCCAAGTCTCATAGCACCAGCCCCTCACTGACCCTCTGCAGGTGGTGAGTCCACAGGAGGACGGCTGCTCTCTGAGTGTGAGCATAGCCTTGATCTTTCAGTGGGGGCTTTGGGCAAAGTGGGGTTAAGTGTCTTGCCCAAGGACACAACGACAGCAGTCATCAGTGAGAGTCGGTGGAGAAGGTGCAGAGGTGGGAATTGAACCCACGACCTTCTGGCCTTAAGGCCAATGCTCTACCAACTGAGCTACTGTCGCCCAAACCAGACCAAAACCATTGTTTGTTACAGATGAGGGACATTTCAAAACAGTCTGAAGCAGAATGTCTTTAAATCTGTTTGATTTTCTCACACCATTACTTTTTTTGGCACAACTAACATGAACTGATGGTCGAAAGGAAAATTAGGTACCTCAGCTTTAATTTAGCGAGTGCGCTTCAGGAGAAGACACGGAGGAGACTGAGGCTCCGCAGTCCAGCTTCAGCGCTGTACATATTGTGTGCATCGGTTACGCAAAGACACGTACGCACACTAGAGAATAGTTCTGTAATGGTTCTGTGCGTGTTCTTGGATATGATCCCATTACGCAGCGCCGTTCGCCGTCATTACAGTCGCTGGAAGTGGTGCTGCTGTCCAGAGCGCTGTGGCGCCCGCAGCTCATCATGCAGAGTTCATACAGGAAACAACAAGTGCCCCGCGGTCACGCGTGTATTCTTTCAAAACTTGAATTCCCAGAGGGCTCTGCTCTGTCCCCATCTTACACACGCGTGTCCGCAGCATTCTGAGTGTTATTATGGGACGCATGGGCATGCATCAAATGCGTTAATTTTTTTAACGCGATTAATTACAAAAATTAATTGACGTGCGTTAACACGATAATTTTGACAGCCCTAGTTTAATTACATTACAGTTACTAAATACTTTGTTACCGGCGGCACCGGTGTTCTGCCGAGTTGTGCAGAGAAAACTGCACTACCGCTGCGTGCGTGCTCACGTCACGATGAGCGCATGAGCAAGTTTGTTTGTAAAGCAACATGGCAGAGCCAGAGGAGAGGAATTGGTTTTACCGGTGGAGATATTTGACTCTATCAGTCAAAAAGATAAAAACGTTGTCGTGGAGTGCAAGCTTTACGCGGGCAGCAAGCGATTGCTCCGTTCACATTATTCCAGCGACTGTAGCTGCTCCGGCCATGCTTTGCGCACAGTATTTTCCCTGGCTTTGGTCTGTGTCTGTGGGAACTAATTATTCTAAAACAGTCTCTTTCAATTGTTTCAGTTTTATAATGTGCTTTGTTTGATCAGTGGATAAAAATACAGTAAATGTAATGTAATTTAAATGGCACCTTGGCCTGTCTTATTATCACCTGTGTCTGCAGGACAGTTCTCTATAAACTAACATATAATACTAATACTAACATATGATGCTAATGCTAACATATGATGCTAATGCTAACATATGATGCTAATACTAACATATGATGCTAATACTAACATATGATGCTAGCGCTAACATATGATGCTAATGCTAACATATAATGCTAATACTAACATATAATACTAATGCTAACATATAATACTAATACTAACATATGATGCTAATGCTAACATATGATGCTAATACTAACATATGATGCTAATGCTAACATATGATGCTAATGCTAACATATGATGCTAATACTAACATATGATGCTAATACTAACATATGATGCTAATACTAACATATGATGCTAATACTAACATATGATGCTAATACTAATATATGATGCTAATACTAACATATGATGCTAATGCTAACATATGATGCTAATACTAACATATGATGCTAATACTAACATATGATGCTAATACTAACATATGATGCTAATACTAACATATGATGCTAATACTAACATATGATGCTAATGCTAACATATGATGCTAATACTAACATATGATGCTAATACTAACATATGATGCTAATACTAACATATGATGCTAATACTAACATATGATGCTAATACTAACATATGATGCTAATACTAACATATGATGCTAATACTAACATATGATGCTAATACTAATATATGATGCTAATACTAACATATGATGCTAATGCTAACATATGAGGCTAATACTAACATATGATGCTAATACTAACATATGATGCTAATACTAACATATGATGCTAATACTAACATATGATGCTAATACTAATATATGATGCTAATACTAACATATGATGCTAATGCTAACATATGATGCTAATACTAACATATGATGCTAATACTAACATATGATGCTAATACTAACATATGATGCTAATACTAATATATGATGCTAATACTAACATATGATGCTAATGCTAACATATGATGCTAATACTAACATATGATGCTAATACTAACATATGATGCTAATACTAACATATGATACTAATACTAACATGTGATACTAATACTAACATGTGATACTAATACTAACATGTGATACTAATACTAACATATGATGCTAATACTAACATATGATACTAATACTAACATATGATACTAATACTAACATATGATGATCTTATAAACCAGTTTAAAAAAAGAGATAGGGCCTGGAGCAAGTACAGATTTTCATCTTGTCCTAGTGACTGGGAGGAATATAAACGGCTAAGAAATATATGCACAACTCAAACGAGAAATGCTAAAGCCAATTATTACAGAAGTAGCTTGTCAAACAATATCAATAACCCTAAACAATTCTGGAGGAAAATAAACACTTTAATTGGTAAATCTGACAATGCAACAAGCAATATGACAATCAATAATGAAATGACTAGTGATCCACATGTGATTGCTAATGCTTTTAGTTTACATTTCTCCCAGTCACCACAGGTACCACTTATCCATCTAGATCCGAC